CTCCAGTCTGGCCTTTTGCATGATGTATTCTGCATATAAGTTAAATAAGCAGGGGGACAATATACAGCCTTGTCGTGCTCCTTTCCCAATTTTGAACCAATCAGTTGGTCCATATCCAGTTCTAACTGTTGCTTCCTGTCCCACGTATAGATTTCTCAGGAGATAGATAAGGTGGTCAGGCACTCCCATTTCCTTAAGGACATGCCATAGTTTGCTGTGGTACACACAGTCAAAGGCTTTTGCATAGTCAATGAAGTAGAAGTAGATATTTTTCTGGAACTCTCTGGCTTTCTCCATAATCCAGCTGTCCCTTCGAAATCCAGCTTGTACTCATGGGAGTTCTCGGTCCACATACTGCTGAAGCCTACCCTGGAGGATTTTGAGCATAACCTTGCTAGTGTGTGAAATGAGTGCAATTGTACAGTAGTTGGAGCATTCTTTGGCACTGCCCTTCTTTGGGATTGGGATGTAGACTGATCTTTTCCAATCCTCTGGCCACTGCTGAGTTTTCCAAACTCGCTGGCATATTGAGTGTAGCACCTTAACAGTGTCATCTTTTAATATTTTAAATAGTTCAACTGGAATGTCATCACCTCCACCGGCCTCGTTGTTAGCCATGCTTTCTAAGGCCCAATTGACTTCCCTCTCCAGGATGCTTGGCTCAAGATCCACAACCATACTATCTGGGCTTTCTGGGACATCCAGATCTTTCTGGTATAATTCCTCTGTGTATTCAGGCCACCTCTTCTTGATGTCTTCTACTTCTGTGAGGTCCCTACCATTTTTGTCCTTTATCATGTCCATCTTTGCACAAAATATTCCTTTAAGATCTCCAATTTTCTTGAACAGATCTCTGGTTTGTCCTTTCTATTATTTTCCTCTATTTCTTTGCACTGTTCATTTAAGAAGGCCCTCTTGTCTCTCCTTGCTATTCTTTGGAAGTCTGCATTCAATTTTCTGTAACGTTCCCTATCTGCCTTGCATTTTGTTTCCCTTCTCTTCTCTGCTATTTGTAAGGCTTCATTGGATAGCCACTTTGCTTTCTTGCATTTCCTTTTCTTTGAGATGGTTTTCCTTGCTGCCTCCTGTACAGTATTACAAGCCTCCATCCATAGTTCTTCATAGTTTAAGTCCTAGATTGCAGCAAGTACTTCTAAGCATGCACAGACTGTCTTTTCCCTTACCAGTGATGAAACTCCTGCCACTACAGAACTAGCACTGAGGAGCAAGTTGCCTCCAAGTAGACGCTTAGGCAATATTCCAGGGTAAGTGATGAGTGCTCAGTCCTTTAGGCCAGTGGCTCCCAACTTTGGACAACCCAAGTCTTCTTGGACTGCAACTCCCAGAAACCCCAGCCAGTGCAACTTGTGGGGAAACCTTCTGGGAATTGGGAGTCACCTGGGTCACCCAAGGTTGGGAACCACTGCTTTAGGCACAAACATAACAACACAGAGACAAACACACACAGACAAAACCCACCCTAGCTTTCTTACACTCCCTTCCAGGTAGAGTGGAATCCTTGTCTGTCTCTGTGAACTCTTTCCATTTGTAAGTTCACCATATGTTGTGGAATTATCTGCTAGGGCAGCCTTGGCTCATTTGAAGGAGGCCACAGGCTGGAAGCAATTCTTCACACACCATTATGAGGTTCATTATGCCACCTCTACAATCCTGATTCAACCTATGTTTCTTTCATATTGTGTTGATAGTCGTGACCAAAAAAAGGTTGAGAATGATTGTTCTAGGGCAGCAGTTCCCAACCTTGGGTAACCCAGGTGTTCACAAACTGCAGCTACCAGAAATTCCATTCGTAGACACAAATGTAAAACACACACACACACACACACCCCAGAAATTCCAGGCAGCACAGCAGTTACCCAAGGTTAGGAACCACTGCTTCGTAGACACAAATGTAAAACACACACACACACACACACACACACACACACACACACACACACAAAATCCACCCGTTTTCTTCCTCTTCCTTTCTTTTCTCCATATTCCAGCAGCCCATTTTTTCCCCCGTCAAAGCAGCTTATCAACACAGTGGAAGAAAGCATTTCAATTTCTACTTTTAAAACTGCTGATCTTAATTCCCCCCTCAAAGGGTTAATGAAGGAGAATGAATCCCAAGCCAAAGTCCTCCTGCCTAGCCAACATTAAAATGGTCTTCTAACTTACATTTAACACACAGGCCTCAAAGAGGAAAGCTTGGGGGGTGGGGAGTAGAGACAGTAAATATCTTTAAAATAAAACGTATTGTATGCTAATGTATTCACTTATCATTTCACACACAATCTAAGCATGTGGGGTTTTTTTTAAGGTGAGATAAATAATGAACAACAGTAGCATTACCATCAGAAAGGGGTCTCAAAAAGGCAGAGTATCTTATTAATTACATTCATATCTCAGCCTCTTTTCCTATGAACTCAAAAGACA